GAGAGAGAGAGAGAGAGAGAGAAGAGGAGGAGGAGGAGGAAAGAGGAAGAAGGCAACTAGCGGTGAACATCAGCATTGAATATATCCATCCATTTCCACAGTGACATTACACATGTCCAAAATTTGTTATGAAAAATATTTCTACAAAAATATATCTTTTTTATTGTACACTATTTCTGCTACAATTTTTTTTTGATTTGGGTGACTTCAGAAACATGCCCAGTTATGTTTATAAATGCACCACATGGACATTCAAACTGAACGTTTAAGAAATAAGAATACTGAGAGATCTAGTCTTTAATGAAATCACTCTTCAAAGTCCTCTGAAAAATGAAGGATAAAATATATTCACCTCCAATGCAAAGTTAGCTGAGCAGAGTTGCAAGTCTCGTCAGAGATCCGTCACGTCGATTGCACGGAGGTCGTTCATGGAAGGGTATCGATTTAAATATTAAAACTTCGAATACAGTTTACTGAGAGGCAGAGTAACTTACGTAAGGCAAAATATGCGGTCAAGAACAAAAATACAAAGAGATTCCATTAATTCGAGAGAATTGCTTCAAACTTCCTGGATTACTTACGATTGTTTGTGTTCGTGAAGGCCGTATCTTCATCTTCTTCCCTCTCTCTGATTGGTCGACCATCTTTGTACCATACGATGATGTCGTCAAACGATGACATGCGCAGTGGACACCACAGAGTCCTTGGGTGGAATGACGTCATGTTCTTCACGAAGATTCCAGTGTGCTCTTCTTCAGAGATGTCTTCGAAAAATTCACCTGGACATTAGAGACAAAGCGACGGTGTTTGAATGGGAGTTGAGTTTTAGTTTTACGGCGTTTTCAACACAATTAGGCCATACAAATGTCGAAGATTAGAGGTGTCCCAAAAGAGTAACAACAAATACAAAAAAGAAGGAGGAGAGATAAGGTTGAAAGATGCTTGTCGTCACAGCGATGTGCATATGGCAGAGAAAGGGAAAGGTGTAGTGAGCTGGACATCCTGGAGATAGTGAAACTCATTCTAGAGAAATGAATGTGCGTTTGTATGTGTGTGTGTGTGTGTG